TACTTAAAAGAAACTAAAAATCCACTCACCAGAACAAATGTATTATCTGCCCAAATTAATAAACAATTGATTTGCCTAAAACATAAATCCATCAGTTGTATACAATCAAATCGAGTTAGTCTGTCGTGTTGTTCGGACACTGAATATAAAGTACGGTTCGCGCTTGATAGACGTGTTTTGAATTCATAATGACATTTCCTAATAATATAGCATACTGTGTAGAGAAATCTTTGAGAACAGATGTCCTATCATCCTTTCTCAGTACCTAATTATAAATGCGACAATGGCAAAGCAGAATACATTGGTCTCACTAAATCACTACCCCTTCTCCTCCCGAAGGTGACGGAAAAACCTGGCGGTTCCCCCTATAGCCCTAAGTCCTTTAGCTGCATATCTAACAGAGAATGACAGCAGACAGGCCAACTTCTACTAATTCTTCTTCAACTAATGAAACTTTAAAGCTGTTGATAAAAACCATGTTTTTATAATTTTTTTTTTTAAATTTAACACATTTAATTGAAGTCGTGGTGGCCCGGAGGTTTAAGACGCCCACTTCTCATGCATGAGGGTGCGGGTTCGAAACCTGCCAACGACAAGTACCAATGTGACTTTTACCGAGTTATATGTACTTTCTGGGACAATCTGGGACAATCTGGGACAACTGGTGTCATTCGAAAACTATACAGAAAAGGAAATACAAAGAAGAATAGGTTTGGCATGGAAAAAGTACTGGGGTCTAAAGGAAATAATGAAGAATAGAGAAGTTAGTTTACACATAAAAAAGAAAGTTTACGAAACAGCGATATTGCCCTGCCTTATATACGGATGCCAAACATGGTCATTGAGGAAAGAAGACGAGGAAAAAATTGCCATATGTCAAAGAAAAATGGAAAGGAGCATGTTGGGCATAAAAAGGTCAGATAAAATAAAAAACGAATTAATACGAGGGAAAACAAAGCTAATGGATTAAACCAAAGAATAAGATTGCTGAAGTGGAACTGGGCAGGACATCTGTGCAGATTAGAGTGTACGAGATGGACGGGTGGGCGGGTGACGGAATGGATTCCATTAGACGGTAAAAGAAAGCAAGGGAGGCAAAGAAAGAGATGGCGAGATATTTTTACCCAACGTTGTGGACCAGACTGGATGCACAAAGCGCGCAACAGGAAAGAGTGGAGTGATTTAGGGGAGGCCTACGCCGTAGAGGCGACCGCTATGAATAGTGAAGATAAACCAGAGTAGAAGAAACAGGTTAAAAGGAACGGATTTACATAAACAGCTTAAGAGAAAGAACATAACATTATTAACATTTGTGTACTTTGAAATGATTTAAATCTAAATAAGTTTTGTCTAAAACATTGTAATTAGTGGAATAAAGGGCATTTTTATTTTATTTATTTTATGTTATGTACTTTCTAAGATTATTTAGACCCCACTGACAAACGGTGAAGGAAAAACATCGTGAGGAAACCTGAACTTATAATTTCTAATTATAAGTTTTAAGTCGCCAACCCGCATTGAGCAAGCGTGGTGATTAATGCTCTAACCTTCTCCGTGTGAGAAGAGGCTTTGCTCAGCAGTGGGCATTTATAGGCTGTTGATGATGAATTGAAGTTCTACTTCTTAAAATGTATTTTTTTTCCTTTACATTACATAACATAACATCACGCCTTTTATCCCTGAAGGTAGGCAGAGGTGCACATTACGGCACTTAATGCCACTGTACCTCTACAATGTAACACCCACTTTTCACTATTTATGTTATGAGTCTCATGTAATAGGGGGTGAGCCTATTGCCATATACCGGGCACGTTTCCAGACTACGTGCTACTACTGAGATTTTTTTTAAAACCCAGTAATACTTTGCCCGACCCGAACCCCAGACCCCTTGCCCGGCAGTCGCACTTGCGACCACTCGGACACTTTTTTCCTATTTGTACAATAAAAATTATATTCCCGTTGTATTCCAAGAAATTCGATCATTAGTCCCACGTCATAAGTTTATTAAACTTTGAACTTTGTAAATGTGGTTAAATAAACATATATTAAACCTACATGAGAATTGTATTGTTCTGAATATTTTTAATGTAGGTAGGTACTTCTTATGATACCCAGGAAGTATTCTGTGCCCAAAATAGTATTAAGAGTACAAATGTATTTCACTATACCGTTACGGTAGAGGGAACCACACGACAAACAATATTGATATTTTAGGTATATCTATCATGACTGCACGGTTGGTGCGGTGGCTGGGCAACGGCTGCCGTGCATCGTTTTGCTACCAACACTTAGTGTGATCCACAAATTGTAGTTTCGGGGTTTCCTGGGTGTCTGTATGTATGCTTATTTATAGGATGTTTGTAAACGCACCCACGACACAGGAGAAAATCCTAGTAGTGTGAACAAGAAACAAAAGATATTGCCTAGTGGTGTATTCGTTGATTGATATCAATTAGAGGCTAGTTCAAACAGGTCCTAGCGAGGTTGAACAGATTTCTTCCGAGATACAACTACTTACACTGTCAAACAAGCAATAAAAAATATTGCAAGACACTAGAAAAAGGAAACAAAAATACAAGTCTTTAATTTAAGTACCTACGAAGGCACTCGTCGATAATATTTGGTGTGTCGATAACCCGATATTGTTATATACAAGAAATAAGATCGTAAGAAATGTTTGTGTGAGTAACTTCTAAACTACATACATACATAGATAACTTCACGCCTGTCTCCCATGGGGGTAGGCAGAGACTAAGGAACGCCAATTACTACGATTCTTACATACCTCTTTCGCTTCAATAACAGTCATCAATCTTTTCATGCATGTTCGTCGGATAAGGGTACTTTTAATTTGGCCCTTCTTTTACTTCTTTAATACATCGCCAATCTGGTCACTATATGTCCGTCTAGGGCCCCTAATACATGGGACTCATAACGTAGGTAAATAGTGAAAAGTGGGTGTTACATTGCACAGTGGCAGTGCCGTAATGTGCACCTCTGCCTACCCCTTCGACGATAAAAGGCGTTATTGTTTACGTTAAGAGAATTATCCGTGTACTATAAATACATATTATAATTCTCACATTACAATATTTGACTTGCATTTCCAATATACATGTGGAATAATTAGCGTACCTAATTTGATTTCTCTAAGATTTAGTCTAACGGATAAGTCGCGGAGAACCTAACGGGTAACCGGGGCTCCGACTCGACGTGCAGGAGAAGGAACGGGGTGGTTTTTAGTCAGTAAGAGTCTGACACTCCCTCCCGCCTCACCCAGGCGGGAGCAGTCATTCGATGATTCTCCCCCCTTAAAAAAAAAAGTCTAACGGATAAATAAGAGCATCTAAGTATTATTTCAGTCAAACCTATCATCATCTTCGTCCACCACATTCTTTTAAGAATAACCCACGTAAAATTTCCTCAAAAAGACAGGCACCGGTAAAAACCACATAAAAATCCGTTCAGTACTTTTTGAGGATATTGCGAACAGATACACAAACGACATGCATACAATGTGCGCTGGGACATAAAAGTTAAAACAATAAGACAATTCTGAACAGTTACGCATTGGAAAATAAAAAAAAAACAGTGTTTTGTATCGGTTAAATGTAAATAGAGGAATAATAGTGCTGAATATTTTTATCATTGTCATCATGCCACAAGACGCCCCCTAGATCGTCCAAATACGCCCGTATAAGTATTCTTTGTTTTAAAACAAAGAATAATGTTTTTAAAAACAAAGAATACTTACATAATAAATACTACAACAAAATATATCAGAAGATATTATAAGAGAAGAAGAAAATATGTGAAAACAACCCATTGACTAGGATTACATAAGAAATTAAGATGTTAACATTAATCATAATAATTACAAAACACCATTATCTAGTCCGCAATTAAAATAAATACCAGCTCACAGTATATATAATGTTTTATTTCATAAATCAATACAATTTATAGGAAATGTATGCAAATATAAACTAGCTGCGCCCGCGACTACGTCCGTGTGGAATAGTAATTCACAACTCCTCCCCAGTAGTTGATAGCATGATAATATGTAGCCTATATTTTTCCCCGAACTGTTAGTAATTTTCATGCAAAATTTGAAGTAAGTCCATGCAGCACTTTTAGAGTCATCCCGGACATACATCCTACAGACAAATAGACAAACATTCTAAAAACCATATTTTTGGTTTCGGTATCGACTGTAGGTCACGTCCACAGCATTCTTTTAAAAAAATATTCGATGTACAGTTTTCACTTTCCTACGATGTTGTTATATGTATATAGAATAAAGATATAGAAGATATAGATATAGATGTATGTAAGAAATCTAGTTAAGATTTATATAAAACCGGTTTCCGATCATTATGGTCAATAAATCATTTGCAATAGAGCATGTACTTAGTAATCTTGACAGGTTTTCCGTCAATCTTAAACTGATTTCAATAATTAATTTTATCACGTGGTCAGCTGATTAGACATGCATGCATAATGTGTACTAGCTACTGCCTCGTGGCTTTACCAACTGCTCGACTTCCATAAGTCATTGATGCTTTACCATATCTCCTCCTCCACTTCCAGTTACATCGGGGCTCTGGCCAGAAGCAGGAGTAAGAATAGAGCCTTTAGCCAAACGCCACTTTAGCGCTTGTCTACAGCGAGAGTAGAAATCAAAATGCTTTGGGATGACATTGACAAGTGTCAAAATTTACGTCAATTCCATATAATGTGGTTTTCTATTCTACATCTAGACAAGTGCTAAATGGCATTTGGCTACAGCTGGTTTGTAGTCAGTAAAAGACTGACACTTCCTCTCGTCTCACCCTGGAAGGAAGGAGTCAGTTGATATATTTTCTCCTCTTCAAAAGTCTAATTTCTAAAACATTTAAATCCTCTTTTGAACCGCGAAACCCCTTGCAAAGATACTTCACCATTTTATTCAGTCTTTTATCTTTCTTAACTAACTAAAAACCAATCTCTATTTGTTACAGTCACAATCCCAGCTTTAAACTTCGGTATGTTGATGGGCTGGCAGTCTCCAATGACTCCGATCCTGCAGTCACCATCAGGACCAGCCCCGGAGCCAATCAGCGACGAAACCATATCGTGGATGGCAGCTATTACATTTATGCCCCCTATCTTCTGCGGGTTTATGGTTGGAGACCTTGCTGACCGATGGGGCAGGAAGATCACTACTCTTCTGACTGCGTTAATGCTTGTGGTAAGTTCTTTATAACTCTTTGAGATATGAACATCTTCTTCTTCTTTTTCGTCCCTAATAAGCTTACGGCCTGACCGATAGAAAATAGTTATCCATTGTGATGTGCTTACGTTTTTGGTTCAGGAGTATAAAGTGAAACCAAGACATGATACCACAGAAATATAAAAAACTTCTTTATTATGTCTAATCTATATAGAAGTACTTATAATACAATACAATACTTTAGAAGAAAACCCAATTATCTGTATGCTTACTCACTTCTCACTTTCATAACAATATTTGACAGCGATGATTGCATAGATAAAGTAATTACCTTTTAAGAGTTTAAATCCTGATTCACTGATGCTAACTAAAAAGAATGCCACACATATTTTTCTTCTTCATAACGGCCTTAATGGTTGCCTAAGATATCGAACAAAAATTCAAACGGCATTCTAGTCCCACTACTCATATAGATAACACCATGTTCATAACTCACAAACCAATCATATCACAAAAGCGGTCCAAACCAATTGCAGCTATTAGCTGACTGATGTCAGTGTTGTCGGTTCCTACAGAGATGTTATGAAGACATTGTTTACTTGCAGTCATTCAGGTCAATTGCAGCTCATTGATACAGATCTCTTTTAGGTTAGATTAATGACTCAACTGCTATGATACTAATTAATCTTGATCCAGGATGCTCATAAAATTCATTTTTGGTGTTTTGTTTGAGTAGATGAATGGGTGTTCCACCATTCGGTATAATTCAGTATATATTTGGGACGAAAATCCAAAAAATAGGGTTAAGCAAGAGACTCGTAATTTTTTTTTTCTATGTGCTGTTTTGTTTGAGTACATGAATGGGTATTCCACCATTCGGTATATTTGAGACGAAAATCCAAAAAATATAGGTTCAACAAGAGACTTGTTCATTGCAAAGGGACTGCTAGTATTCGTTCCGATAGAAGTAATACTTAGGTTAGGTTAGTTGACAATATCAGCTTGTTAGGATATCAGGACTATTCCGGACAACCTCTTCCTTATCTTTTTCCCTACAAACGAACACAAAGTGTCCAGTAAATAGTACACCATACTTTGAGGGGTGATAGCTGGGACCAATATCTACCTAAACAACCCAATATACTATGATCAGCGAAAATGTACGGTTTCAAAATTATACCCCATTTTCTGCATAGCCAAATTATTACTTACTTCAGCAAAGAACCAGCATCAATACTAATATTAAAAACCTCTTATTTACCCTACAGTTAAGTTGGACCATCACCTTATTCTCCCTCCGTCCATGGGCGCTCATCAGCTCGCGAGCAGTAGCCGGGCTTGCGTGCGCAGGCTGCTACGTCGTCATACCGTTATATTTAAAAGAGGTAAGTAGTTCTAGCCTTAACTTAAAAACAGGCTTACCATCCACGACGCATCATTTGACGAATGCATGCAATCTACAAACGACGATAGGAGGATTTACATATAAGAAGTGAGTGACGCAACGTTGCCGCTTCGTGAACAGTTTCCGTTCCTTCTAAACAACAAACATATTGTAATTTGTTTGTTGTATGCGTTCGTCAAAAGACGCGTCGTAGACTTTTGGCGGTATACAAAACTACACTTTACTATACTGTATTTTAAGAGTATGTTTCATTGTATTTAGTTTTGTGAACCCAATAAAAAGTCTTTACAACATTGATAAAAAAAAATTTAAATCTTGTTGTAAGTTTTTTGCCGCCATAGTTTGCGAGGATTAAACCGTTAAGTGACCATGTTACATGTTATATATGTAAATATATATACGTATACAACCTATGTTCTGTCAGATACTAATCACGTGTGGGATGCGTCACAAGTGTGGGAGAGCCATGCTTCGGCACGAATGAGCTATCTCGACCGGAATGATACCACGGCCTCACAGAAAACCGACGTGAAGCAACGCTTGCGTTGTGTTTCGTCGTGTGAGTGAGGTTACCGGAGGCCCAATTACCCTCCCCTTCCCCAATCTCCCCAAGCCCTAAATTCCTAACGATTCTCAAACTCCTAATCCCCAAAAGGCCGGTAACGTAGATATTTTTTATAGGATAAGCCGGTAAACGAGCAGACGGATCATCTGATGGTAAGCAATCGGCGTCGCATAACGCCTCTGGTGTTCCAGGTGTCCATGTGCGACGCCGATTGCTTACCATCAGATGATCCGTCTGCTCGTTTACCGGCTTATGCCATAAAAAAACGTGTCTATTCATTTTTTTCCTTATTCATATTTTTTACAAACTTCCTCTTCATTCCATCAACAGTTTAATTCATCTGTCACTTACATCTCGTCTCATTCTTATAGATACATTAGATACATCGACTATTGTAAATTACTGATTGAAAACAATCACAAAGTAATTACATAAGATAGTAGATATATCAAGAACGGCTATATCGATTTGGATGAAAATTGGTGAGGATGTAGCTTAGAACCAGGAGACGGACGTAGGATACTTTTTACCCAATACTTATTTTTTACTTTTAACCGAAAATCAAGAACGTGTACAGGAAATATCGGGATTGCGCGTACGAAGTCGCGGGCAGAAGCTAATATTCTTTTAAAACCACTTCTAATATTCACATAAAAAAATCATAAAAAAATAACACTCATAATATTTTTAATGAAGCAACAAAATACAATGCATTCCACATCCATTTTATGAGCGATACCTGATTGGTAAAATGAATTTACTGGGGATTTTTAACATGTAGTTTTTTCTCCTTAACAATCAAAACCTTTGCGTCAATTATTGTAAATTGGAATTAAATAAACATTAATTAATAATAACCTGAAATTAATCATTTGTATTAATGAGAAAACTTAGCAAAATCTAATTATTTTGCGTTGCTGTGTGTCATTAACCCTTTGAGTACCGTCATTATAGACACAATTAAAGAACAATAGGTTGCGGTCACCGGTGTCCTCGCGATGTTTGACAATTAAATAGAGGGTATTTTAGGTAGTTATTGTAGATAAATCCGGGAACTTTCATTAACATGTTGTATTAAAGTTGTAGACCATTATGACACATAGAGGTAAAGTTATTGTAGGTATGTTATGACGTCCAAGGAAAGTTGGAACTCGTCATACTTTTACCTTATAATTGTTATGACGTAAGTAAACATAACATAATATCACAATCCCCGAATTGGTAGGCAGAGGTGCACACAGAAGTAACACCCACTTTTCACTATCTATATTGCAAGTCCCATGTAATGCGCGCGCCTCAAAGAGCCATCAGACCACCACAGATGGGGCCCAATACGGCCGATGCCGATTCGGAGTCGCGGAGAACCTAACGGGAAACCGGGGCTCCGACTCGACGTGCAGGAGAAGGAACGGGGTGGTTTTTAGTCAGTAAGAGTCTGACACTCCCTCTCGCCTCACCCAGGCGGGAGCAGTCATTCGATGATTTCCGCCCTTAAAAAAAAAAAGTCCCATGTAACAGAGGGTGAGCCTATTGCCATATACTACCGGGCACAATTCCAAACTCCGTGCTACTACTGAGATTTGTTTTAAAAACCCAGTAATATACGTAAGTAAAGTAATACAGAAGTATTTAGGTTAGTATAAAATAGTGAAAAGTGGGTGTTACATTGTACAATGGCACCACTGCCGTACTCGATCATTTAATGGATACTTAGTCCTTTGCAATTGTTTTCGGAACAAAACAAAATCGTTACTAAGTTTTAAGTAATCATTAAATGTCTCTGAGTATCGCAGTAAGTGCCACAATGTGCACCTTTACCTACCCCTTTGAGCACAACAGGCCTGCAGCTGAAGCCAAATGCCACTTGGCGCTTGTCTACATGTAGAATAGAAAACCAAATTATATGGAATTGACGTATATTTTGACACTTGCCAGTGTCATCCCCATACATTTTGATTTCTACTCTCTCTGTAGACAAGCGCTAAAGTGGCGTTTGGCTAGAGGCCCTGATGTTGTGTTATTTAGGTTAGTCATGAATCAATCCTTTCTCTTTTCCGATATTTTTAACTGACTTCAATACGAAAACAAAAGACTGTTCTCAGTTATACATGTATGTATATATGTGCCTATGTTTGTGCGCAATTATCTCTTGATTGGTTGAAACGAATTTGATGCGATATTCAGAAAAATGTTTGTTACACTTGTTTTTTGAGAGGGGAAGATCATCTAATGGCCTCTTTCGCCTGAGTGAGACGAGAGGGAGTGTCAGACTCTTACTGACTAAAAATCACCCCGTTCCTATTCCTGCCCTTCGAACCGGAGCCCCGGCGAACCCGTTAAGTCCTCCGCAGTTCACCATCGGGCATCAGCCAGCACCATCTGTGGTGGTCTGATGGCTCTTTGAGGCGATCGCTTGTTACTCGTCACTCGTGATCGTACTTAGAAAAAGGTTTTAGTATATTAATTAACCGACTTAAAAAAATGAGGGTGTTGAATTCGGTTTTCTTAAACGTAGTTAGTATTATTTTCATATTCTGTCTGCTGCACAATAGTATGTTATCCGTTATTTTACCTTCTTACAGATAGCATCAGACAACATCCGAGGTGCTTTAGGCTCCTTATTCATCCTATCACAGAACCTGGGTTACCTCGTGGTCTACGTGGCTGGGGATCTCCTGTCATTTGACGCAGTATTATGGCTCTGCACTGCCGTACCAGCTATCTTCCTTGTCGCTTTCATTGCAATGCCTGAAACTCCTGTGTTCCTCGTCAAACAAGGGAAGATTAAGGTATGAATTTGAAACACACACACACACGAACACACACACAGCTAGAGAGAGAAAGCACCAGAGGCCTTAGTACAAGTTTCTGAGCAAGTGCTAAGCAAAGCCTCTTCTCACACGGAGAAGGTTTGAGTATTAATCACCACAGTAGCTGATTGCCGGTTGGCGATTTCAAACTTATAATTAGAAATTATAAGTTCAGATTTCCTTACAATCCTTCAACCTTTGTGGTGGTGTTTAAATAATCTTAGAAAGTACTTATAACGGCACAATATCGTCACGTAAAAAGTGTTTCGATATTTCGATCCTCATACATGAGAAGCGGGCGTCTTAACCTCCGGGCCGCCACCAAGACCGTGTTCTGATTGGCTGGGTTCAATGGACCAACCAATCAGAATACAGTGCCGAATACAAATACGAAGTACTCATTACAATTGCTTTAAACGTAAATCGAACTCATATTAAGACCTCAGATCACTCATTCAGTTTTCAGTCAAGTCACTAATGTAATAAAATTAAAATTACATTACCTCTATCTACCTCTACATTACCTATGTCCCATTTTGTTTTATAGTAGAATCATGCTATTTGGCCAATATACGGCGATAGAATTTTTCAACGATCGTGACTGATTGACTGGTCTTTGTAGGAAGCTCGTGCAGCACTGGCCTGGCTTCGGAACACTACGACAGACGACAAGGACTTGGAGGAAGCTATACAGCAGCTGGAGAGGGAGGAGGAGTACGCCAGGAGTATGAAGAAAGCCACCTGGAAGAGTATAGGTAGGCAGTAAAATATTTTAATATGCAATTTTACAATAATTCGAAAAACTTAAGCATCGTACAAAGAACGGAATTGTAGTTATAGTTTTTTTTTATTTGGGATAAACCTACCACAGCCTCCCAAAACCGCTGCAACTCCTGTAAGCCAGGATCTACACATACAACATCAACATCATACAACCATGTAAACACTGGTACACCGATTTGAATAATTCTTTTTGTGCTGAATAGTGCATTTATCGAAGAAGGCAATAAGCTATAAACTATCACACTACAAGCAATAGGAGCTGAGCAGAGCATATGTAACCGCGTGCTAGTACATTATAAATAAAGCTTTCGTTATTAACACCTACTTAATGTCAGAACAAGATCAATAATAACCACGGATGTCGCGGAACTTATGAGTCACTAATGTACCTACGTCATGGAGGTAAAAAAAACATTTTAAATAAGCAACAACTTGACAGGCATAAAGTATTTAATGACATCCTAAGAAAAAGTTACCGCATAAAGTTCCCCGTACTTTAACTCACGTGCACGTGAACTGCTCTCACGTGTACGCGTTCTCCTGTCACGTGTACGCGTACTCCCATCGCGTGTACGCGTACTCCAGTCGCGTGTACGTGAGTTCCTGTTGCGTGTACAACCATTCATAGTCACGAGATATTGCAAGTCAATATCGCGCCAATACTTATACTTGCCAACTACTCAAACTCAATACCTACTTTTTTCGAACTGTCAAAAACGACAATTTTCTATGAATTTTGTATTGGGACGTCACGATTTTTTAGCGTCAAACATCATACTTATTTCTTAAAAAATTTGGTCATAAAATCAATTAATGAAAGTGTGATTATTTTTTAATATTCCATTGTATTGAACAGTCGAAATAATTTATTTTTGATTACGGAAAGTACCCAATTGCTATAGCTGAGTCATATATTTAATATAGAGCTTATATCTGAGGTCTACCTCTAATAAGTAAACCTACAGATAGATATTTTATGTAGAAACTCACACAGAAGATGAATCTCTCGCACTTCTGGATGTGTTCAAGGCCCGAGTGAATAGGTTGCTTATGGGACGACGTGCTCCATCGTAGACCACACAATACCACGAGGCGAGATAGCGGTCAAACGTCGGCCCATGAAATATAAAAAAAAACTTTTACATGATATAAAATCTATATCTGATAATGTTGATTTCATCAAGTACAACAAGATGTACCTTACAGCTTTCTGCCCCTTGAGACCTACCAGTAGCCTTTTTAACCGTAGTACTAAACAGGCTACGATAAATGGGTCATCGTATATTTCCAAAAACATGAGTCATACAAAACAAACAAAAAATATGTAGAAAAAAATAACAAATCAAAACTACTGGTATCTTAAGTGACGTGACTCAGAAGGTTGTAGACTCCATAGTAAGCTGGCTAGGATAATAAACCGTATCGCCTGGGGTATTTGGGTCATATTGCTGTGAATATGGGTTCGTGGTTCTAAGAAGAGCTCTCACTCGTTGGGATATATTTACCGCGTTCCTGTAATGTGTTGTGGCACGCGACGTACGATATAGATACAGGTTGTTAGTAAAAGTAAAAAATATATAAAAAATATTGACTTACAAGGTTGGTGCAGTGGCTGTGCAACTGGCTGCCGCTGTTCCGCGGAACGTGTCGCGGGTTCGATTCCCGCACGGAACAACTCTTTGTGTGGTCCACAGATTGTTGTTCCGGGTCTGGGTGTGATGTGTATGTGAACTTGTATGTTTGTTTTTTTTTTTTTTTTTTTTATGGAATAGGAGGCAAACGAGCAGACGGATCACCTGATGGTAAGCAATCAGCGCCGCCCATGGACACCCGCAACACCAGAAGAGTCACAGGTGCGTTGCCGGCCCTTTAAAAAATGAGTACGCTCTTCTCTTGAAGGTTTGAAGGTCGTATCGGTTCGGAAATACCGCCGACGACAGATCATTCCACAGTTTTGCTGTGCGAGGCAGGAAGCTACGTTTGTAAACTGAGGGCGAATCCTCTGCTCCCCATTGCAACCACTCGTTTCTATTCGTTCCTACAAAAGTAGTCTCTAATCGGAAATAAGGTCTATAATGGAGTTAGGACACTTGTGTCCGCTTGGGAATTTGGTTGCTCCATGGCATTTGATTTCAGCTCAGTCTCTTGCTGTCCACTGCTGCATTGTGAGCTTGTCTTGAGATTTACATTTTCTTCACCGTTTGTCAGTGGTTTCTAAATACCTAATCTTAGAAAGTACATATAACTCGGTAAAAGTCACATTGGTACTTGCCGTTGGTAGCGAACCCGCACGCTCATGCATGGGAAACGGGTTTCTTAAACCTCTGGGCCACCACGACACGTCTTAATACGAGTCTGAATTTAACAGTATTGTCTGAATTAGACATAAAACGTTTATGCTTTTTTCTTTCTTTCTCTTGTCAGCCATATCCATACCGATCACAGTGCAAACATTACACGTACCATATTAGAACATGCTGTAGTTACTAAAAACCTGATACCAATCAGCATACACTCGAATAATTCCAAAAGGGTAAAAGCCTGTATTAGTCTATATCCTGTGTTGCCAGCGAAATATTTTATACCTGACACTTTATTGAACCTGTTTGTTATGCGTTTGTTTGGACTTAGACAAGTTGAGAGTTTAATGTTACTTAACTGGGAAATGCGTGTATATGCACCTCTTGCTACCCCTTAAGGTAGTAAAACCTGTCATTTAATTATCATGTTTTCGGATTGCGCGATGACTGCACGGTTGGCGCGGTGGCTGGACAACTGGCTGCCGCGCAACGTGTCGCGGGTTCGATTTCCACACGGAACTACTCTTTGTGTGATCCACAGATTGTTGTTGCGGGTCTGGGTGTCATGTGTATGTCATATTGTATGTTTGGTAATGGACCCAAGACACGGGAGAAAATCGCAGTGTGGGCCAACGTTCTTTAAAAATAAGATTACTTACGTAACTATTTGACGAGGAACTCGACTAGTTTCAAGCCATGCTAGAGGCTCATATTCATGAGCAGTATTCCGCGGCCCGCGACGCGGCAATTGTCGCACTCACACTGTGACTTGAAACTAGTCGAGTTCTAGTGAGTAAGCCGAAAACATAATAATTAAATTAGTATGTTGAATGAAAATTATAGTAAAAGCTGTACATACATAAAATGTCAAAATATCCATTCTGCCCTGATAACAAAGTATGCAGTAATCAACACGTTTGAGATTTTCACTTTTTTCCAGAAATGGTATCCCAAGAGGTTCATGTACATACCTACATATACCTCTAAAAAAAAATATTTTCATAAAAAAATTCACTCGAAGTTTTTATGTAATAATTTTCGCCGTACCTACTTGCATAAAAACTGATTCAATGATATGAAAAAACGCAGTATTCAATTTTGCGATTACTGCATACTTAGTTATGACGGCAGCATTGTATAATATCCATTGTAAAAAAGTACCCTTAACCGACGAGCATGCATGAAAAGATTGATGACAGTTAATGAAGCGAAAGAGGTATGTAAGAATCGTAGTAATTGGCGTTCCTTAGTCTCTGCCTACCCCCATGGGAGACAGGCGTGAAGTTATGTATGTATGTATGTATGTAAAAAAAGGGCTAAAATCTACACATTATCTACACACATAACCATAAATACGAGTCATAAATTCTACATAATTTCTCTTAATCCTTTACGATATCGGGTAAAACCAAACCATAGAACTACTATATCATATATCATACCACAATGCGATATATCATTTCACTTCAAGTCATGCAAATGCGTTTAAAACGGTGTTCACAACCGGTTTGTTGGTAATACGGCTTTTCCCTAGTGCCAGTTGCAAGTTCATTAATAAATAGCAAGTTAGCAACTAGGTATGATGTGGAAGATGGAAGATCTCTAGTAAGTCATTTGCTATTTTGAGTAAAGAAATTGAAATAACATAACATCAGCACGCCTTTTATCCCCAAAGGGGTAGGCAGAGGTGCACATTATGCCAGTGTACAATGTAACACCCACTTTTCACTATTTATGTTATGGGTCCCATTTAATAGGAGGTGAGCCTATTGCCATAAACCAGGCACAATTCCAGACTCCGTGCTACTACTGAGATTTTTTTAAACCTAGTAGGTAATACTTTGCCCGACCCGGGAATCGAACCTGAGACCCCTTGCCCGGCAGTCATTACAGAGAGAGGGCTTTACGAAGGGCCCTTCAGTGATAAATGGCGTAATGTTATATCTTATGCTTAAATTACTTATGGTTGTGACAATTACTACCATTTACCATTTTTTTTTAATTTCACCTGTCTCAAAGTCAGTCTGTCTAAAATCTCGCCAATTGATCCACTTCTTACATTTTATCCTGTAGACATATTATAGTGCATTTCACTTATTCGATTTCCCCTAATTTATTATGATCATTTTTCACCCATTTTCCACGACGAAGATTTCCATTTCCCACACTTGTGGGAGAGCCATGCTTCGGCACGAATGTGCCGGCGGGCGGCTTGACCGGAGTGATACCACTGCCTGTTTCGTCGTGTAAGTGAGATGACCGGAGGCCTAATTACCTCCCTTCCTAGTCCCCATCTCCCGAATCCTCCACAATCCTCAAATTCCCAATGCCCAAAAGGCCGGTAACGCACTTGTAAATTGCGCTTGTAAATTAACGCAATTGGTGTTTTGGGTATCCATGGACGGCGCCGATTGCTTACCATCAGGTGATCCGTCTGCTCGTTTACCGGCTTATGCTATAAATAAAAAATAATAATTTGTTTAGAGTATTTTTTCCATACATTTCACACAGCTACGGGAACCTAAACAAGATCAGTTAAATAGAATAGTAGGGCGAGATGCCATAGCCATTCCTAAAAATAAAATACGGAAGATATTATTTATTTTTACATACTTTTGTCCTCGGTTACACTCGCATTAATATAGATTTGAGCAACACGATATGCTACGTAACAAAAAGAATAGGTGTAGGTAGTATAAAAATAAATTGTCAAATTTGTTGCTAAGCGTATAACTCGAGAATAGCTCGACTGATTTTATTTTAGTATAATTCACTAAAATTCTGAAAATAAATACTGAAAGACGTCTGTTGGGTCAGGGAGAGTGCCTAGTGCCGATTAGTTTTACATTAACGCGCTGTTTATGACGTTCAGTGCTCTGATTGGTAGCTCCAGGTTAACTAACTAATCACAGAGCTCAACGCGTAATAATGTAAAACAAACTTTGTCTTCAGGTACAAATAAAATAACTGGATTTTCTGACTATCTTTAACTGATTGGTCGATGCTTATGACCGTCGTAAGGTCGACCAAAGGAAAAATTGGATTTCTAGGTCCAGCAAAAGAAAAACTGAATTTCTTTTCTTATGTAGGTATATGTACTAAAGGTACTATGTAAAGCGGAAGAGTTTGTGTTTTTGTTTGTTTGTTTGAACGCGCTAATCTCCGAAACTACGGGTCTAATTTGAATAATTGTTTTTGTGTTTTATAGCGCATTTATCGAGGATGGCTATAGGCTATAAAACATCACGCTACGACCAATAGGAGCTGAGCAGAGCATGTGAAACCGCGCAGAAGTAGCTAGTAGTTAATAAAATACATTATAAAATAAAATAAAATAAAATAAGCCTTTATTGCTGTAGTTACAATAACAAGAATTACAGTTGTAACCAAAGTTGCAACAGAGTTAAATAAACAAACTTAAAAACCACTCTAACATTATCTCAGCAATTGGTTTCTCTCCTCTTACAACAGCTTGTCTTTCAACAAAGGCCTCCTCTAAGGATTTCCACTTGTTTCTGTCCTTTGCTACACGTAACCATTCTGGCCCTGCTACTCGTTTCAAGTCGTCTTCCCATCGTTTATACTGTCTTCCTCTACTTCTCCTGCGGTCTCTAGGGTACCATTCCGTAATTATTCTGGTCCATTTCTCTCTCTCCTCTCTCAGCATATTTCCTGTCCAGCGCCATTTTAGCGTTCTATATACTGATAGGACATTTCCGAACTTGGTATTTTCTTTGATTTCTTTAAGTTGTATCTTATCCTTTCTTCTTACCCCCAGTACACTATAAAATACATTAATATATTATTAAATCTGGAAAAAAACCTAGTTGAAGTCAATAGGCTTGGACTCTATTATAAAATGAAACTTTAAGACACATAGTCCCATCCCACCATAATTATAAATGGTTTGCATTTATAAGTGTGGGAGTGCCATGCTTCGGCACAAATGGGCCGACTCGACCGGAGTCATACCACGGCCTCACAGAAAACCGACGTGAAACAACGCTTCGTCGTGTGAGCGAGGTTACCGGTGGTCAATCACCCACTCTCCCCAATCTACTCAATCCCTTAATTCCCCAACAATCCTCAAATTCTTAATCGCCAAAAGACCGATAACGCATTTGCTATGCCTTTGGTATTCCGATTGTCCATGGGCGACGCCGATTGCTTACCACATAATAAAAATGTAATATGTTTGCGTACCATAACCACTTCGTGGAATAAAAAGCGATATGTTACGATGATAGTGATGATGCCTGGGTTTTCTAAGCGCCCGTTTTTCCTAGAATAAAATGAACACAATCTACACAATGGCAGGTAAAACTTTACTGTAATAAAATATAAAAGTAATAGCAGTCATTACTGTACAAGCAATTACGCAATTAAATATCCATAATATTATTCTTAGAACACAAAACATATTAAACTGTATTAAATACTTTAAGTAAGTATTACTTACGTAAGCAGTTATCTAACTATTGTTATTATATATAAGTTCCTCTCAGTAAATCAGTTTATCACACTTTCATTCACACGTTAATATCGTATTTCTAAGAACATATTGGGCATTAAAATAAAAACATCCAAAACTGGATATTCTGGCAAAAAATTGTACACACAAATATGCGTGTCTTATGTTCTGAGAATCAACCTTTGTGCTTCTTCAATTAATCACAGGAGCAAAAAATACTCCAAAAATTAATACAACCGATCTGTTTTGCATCAGAGATGTTGTTATGGCTAGTTATGTACGGTCAAAGGTGAAAAGTCCACTGCCACCGTAAGACTACTATCAGTTGCTCTGCAGCGCTTATACACACATGCAGCATATTTTTATCCGTGTGCGTAAGCGTGCGTGTGTCTATGCGAAATTACTTACGCATTGCCGTGTGAACATCACTCACTGTGGCAGTGGACTTATGACCTTTGACTGTACCTACATATGTGTGTGAGGAACAATATTTTAATACCATTAGGCACAGTAAAGCTCTATATCGTTTGTCATATATCGAAAAAAAATCTGGAGCACATACTGTACACCAAAAAAAAACAGCCCAAGAAAGGTCTGTTTTTTTTTCTCTATCCTAAATTCCTCTCTTGTTTTGGGAGACCACCTATGACGACCGTGCTGACCACGTTTAGCAATAAGTTATACTTTAGCGCGGTTACTGAACCCAGAAAAAAACAATATCCATGATCCGTAAGTAGAACTTCATAAATAATCACCCGAAAATTTTTAATTGCAGTCAAAGACAAGACGACATTCAAGGCGTTTCGCATTTCCCTCAACGTGATGCTGTCCCAGGAAACCTGTGGTTACCTGGTGGTGCTCATGTATGCTGGCTCCATCTTCGAGCAGGCTTCGGAGTCCATCAGCCTGAAACTGAGCCCCAATAAGCAAACTATTGTTGTGGGCGTTATCCAGTTACTGGGCAGTATCGTCGCTAGCTGTATTGTGGAGCAGACTGGGCGAAAGGTGAGATGATCTTTTTATGGTTCTTCCAGGTGTTGTTTGCATGTTATTCTGTTCGTCTCTTTCTTTCAACGCTAGTGCATTTATGTACTTCTCTTTCCATTCGAGCAGTTTTGATTCTATGAGTGATTCTATGAGAGATGTAAAATATTTAATTTATTTTTAAATCACATCACTCAAATATCTGAAACCCCACGTTCAGCAGCAAAATACCGACCAATGATCGAGGTCCCATTTTCTCACTGCAAAACCTATAACTAATCTGCATGAAAAAAATCAAACATAACCGAATTCACGTAACTTATCTTATGGGAAATTATTCAGAAACTTCTCTAACAAATTCTTCTATATCTATTCCAGTGGCTTCTAGCAGGCACCTCCTTAGCTACAGGACTATCAATGCTGGCATTGGGAGCCTGGTTCTACATCACATCCATGAACATCTGGCTGCCTGGCTGGCTACCAGTCCTCGCCATGTGTCTCTGCATCTTCGCTGATGCTGCAGGGTACCAACCAGTGCCTTACGTGATTACTTCTGAACTGTTCTCTTTCCAGGTAAATACTTATTTCTACTTCATTTGCATCTTAACTGAACACTATGTCATTATTTGACATGGAGCATAGATGATATATTTCTGTAGATAACTAAGTACTATCCTTGCTCCAGGCATTTAATGTCGCCAGAACTCCAACACAAAACTTAGTTGAAATCCTAAGAATAAAGAATAAACATCAAAGGCCTTCCTGATAAAATTTGCTTTGGGCATTCCCATAGCATAGGGTTTACCATATGTAGGTCTTACCAAAGGGTACAAATAAACAGAAAGTAGATTTACTAAATGTCTACAATATAACATTCTGTTGTTAATAAATTACAATGACTCATCTACCATGATCGAAACGATCTAATTTACAACTTCACCCAACATAATAAAAATCTCTTCCAGCACCGAGGCATGGTGACATCCTTCGTCAGCTCCGTGGATGCCCTCAGCGACTTTCTCCAAACAAAAGCCTACGACCCGCTCCTCAAACTCCTGGGAATCCATTGGGTCTTCATCATGTTCTCCATAGTTTGCTTTCTGGGAACTTTCTATACGGTCATGTGGGTTCCAGAAACTAAAGACAAGACTGTAGAAGAAATATACGCACTCTTAGAAGACAGCAGAAAGAAAGAGAAGAGGAAAGGGATGAAAATAATAATGAAAGAGATGGAAGATCTGGAGTGTGGGAAAGAGATGAGTAGATTATAAGTATTTATTGGGGTGTTGTCGAATTGATGGATCGGTTATTGGGGTGTTCCAAAACGATATTTAATGGTTTTTTTTTCATGTGATATATCTGTATCTATTAGGTTTTTTGAAGGTTAGAGAAAAAAACCGTAGATAAATGAAAGTAATTTATTCTTTGTAATATCAATTTGTATTGGATCTGGGCAATAACTATAAATGTCTTCGTCATATTTCAGTGTATAATCTATTTGGTGAAAATTTAATTGTAATACGTTATTGCAAATTGAACGTATATATATGGTAGAAATAACGTAATTGTGTATGTATATTGTATGTATATACGTTTTGTTTGAAGTAGCTATTGTTTCTTGTTGAATGGAATATTGTAAAATTGTTACTCAAACAGTTAAGAATTGTATAATACGGTTTTATGCATTTTATTAATTAGAAAACTAAAAAAAATGGGACAACCTAAGTACCTAGATATCGCTGTACTTAAATATTAAAGTGGGCAAAATTCATCAATTCGACAATCATCTTTGAAATAATGTACAAAAGATTCATTTAATTTTGAACCAAGACACGATAAAAAAACAGTGAATTCTTCTGTACATAACGGTGATTCTCAAACAACCAATCTTCCTGTTCATCGACTTTGTACCCTATAATTGTAAAGTGAGGGTGTTTTTTCGAATGTGCAGGAAGATAGTGATATGTGCCTCCCGACTACCGATTGTGATATTATGACGAATTAGTAACGTTTAATAATTTGGTATTATTAGTAATAAGATGTCTCTATGACGTTAAAAGACAATAATTTATACGAAAATGTTCTTTTGTTTTATTTTTTACCATAGTACCCTGAACCATGTAGTCATATTTGCTAATTATAATGTTGTAGGAGTACCAGTAACAGTACGGAGGCATTTCATACTTCGTAACAGAGTAATTTCGAACTGGCGTACATCGCACTCGTATGCTTTCTAACTAACGATACGTCGACCTTGCATACTTCGCTCCAGTGAACTTTCGAACTGGCGTACATCGAGATCCTGTACTTTAGAACTAGTAACTAGTAGCGGAGTCATCAATTGTCCACGGCAATCCACTGTTAGAAACCTCTTTGACAAGTATCTTTGCCAGTTTTCATCATCCTCCTCTAAATTTTAAGAAATCCCTAAACTAACATTAGGTACATTTAATAGTGTATGTGGTTATCACCAGCCTATAAGTGATATATTACAGTATAAATAAGGGTTTAGTTTCTTTTAGGTGCTACGTTACGCTAAGTAACTTTTAGTTAAGAGATGGTTAAGGGGTAATTGGTGAAATCGACCATGAGAGGGTTTCGCCTTAGTCATCTCCTTTGGTAGGCAGGTTTTCTTTATTTTTTGTTTAAAAAAATATTGCCCCAAACTAGGATTTTCTCCTGTGTCGCGGATGTGTTTACAAATACAATGTCACATAGGTACATATGACAAGGCTCGGAACAACTATCTGTGGATCATACAAAGAGTTGTTTCGTGCGGGAATCGAACCTACGTTGCGCAGCAGCCAGTTGCCCTGCCACCGCGCCAACCGTGCGTCAACATGGTAAGTTACCGCAGTTAAAAAGGTAGAAATCATCCGAGAACGCAACTGCACAGTCTGTCAAATGTAAAGGTACATAGACCCTCATAGGTAGTCAGCTCATATAAGAGCAAAAGTGACGACAAAGCGGCCAGGGTGGGTCAATAGTTTCACTTTTCTTATCTGACTGATACTTAAAACAATATAGGCGAAAAGTGGTACATATTTTACTTTTAGTTAATTATGAGTACCCATTTGTTTAGAAAACGTTCTTAATACTATATAACATAAATATCGACTCCAAGTTACTATGACATAAAGTTATTTAATTTTAATGTCATCTAAAGACCTTTAATGTCATCTAAAGAATTGCACCTCAATAGCCATCATCATCATCATCAAAATTTCAGCCACAATTCGTCCACTGCTGAACATTGGGGACTCTGGAGCAGGTCTCTTCAGAGTTTTAGAGAGCTGAGTGTGGCCACTGGGGTGGTTTTAGTGAGGTACAAATCCCACACTCTCAAGTCATTCTCCCCAAAAAGCTAGGCGCCTTTTGAAGGTTTCCCCCCACCATCTAAAAATAGGCCTCCCCCAATAGCTTCCAGATCGGCCGGCTGGAAGCGACCTATATTTAGCGACTACCTTAGATCGTCTGTCCCCCTAGAGCTTGCTAGTGGCCATACAGGACAAAATACTCTAGCCAATTTGAAAAAAAACACCAATCAATATACGTACTACAATAAATAATAAAATTACCACCATCCGGTAATTCACTTACAATTTTACATATTTCACAATTTTAAATAAGTAAAACATAAAAACGGCAATCTCGAACGGGCGGCTCGAGAGCCATTAAATATATAGTTTATATATCGTTCCTATGTATTTACACTCATATTATATGTAGGTATACGTTATATATTTAAAAATGTCGAATATATTTTTATGTTTGTTAACGTTAACTATTATTTATACTGTAAATGGAAAACTTGATAATGATATAAATTTTGGTAAGTTTCAATTTGATGAACTCAGTTTTCGTAATCCCACTATTAATCTGAAAATTACAGTAAAGGTTAGATAGAGACTGCCTCGTTGGCCGAGTGGTCGTAAGTGCGACTGCCGGGCAAGGGGTCTCGGGTTCGATTCCCGGGTCGGGCAAAGTATTACTGGGTTTTTAAATATTCTCAGTAATAGCACGGAGTCTGGAATTGTGCCCGGTATATGGCAATAGGTTCACCCCCTATTACATGGGACTCATAACATAAACAGTGAAAAGTGGGTGTTACATTGTACAGTGGTATAATGTGCACCTCTGCCTACCCCTTCGGGGATAAAAGGCGTGATGTTATGTTATGTTATGTTATGTGTTAGATAGAGAATTTTAAAATTTGTCAAAACAAGCTGTTTTTAGTGTGGGACAGCCATGCTTTGGCACGAATGGGCAGGCTCGACCGGAGGATACCACGGCCTCACAGAAAACCAAAAAAAGTAAACGTAAAACAATGCTTGCGTTATGTTTCGTCGTGTAAGCGAGGCTACCGCAGGCCCAATTACAATACCTCCCCTGCCCTCAATTACCCCCCTCTCCCTTCCCCCAATCTCCCCAATCCCTGAATCCCTAACAATCCTCAAATTCGTAATCCAGCCGGCCGGTAACGCACTTGTAACGCCTCTGGTGTTCCAGGCGACACCGATTGCTTACCATAAGGTCTGCTCGTTTACCGATTTATCCCATAAAAAACGAAAGACAGAGGCTGTATTCTAATACAGCCTTTGTCTTTTTGTAGGCCTGCCTCCTTTACAAAAAGCGATTTCACCATAATCTTCACGCATGGTGGGCGGGTTGGACATCGTAGTTTTAATGTATCAGCTTTATTCGAAAGAGTATATAATATAATGCTTTAGGCACACTACCTCGTTGGCCAAGTGGTCGCAAGTGCGACTGCCGGGCAAGAGGTCTCGGGTTCGATTCCCAGGTCGGGCAAAGTATTACTGGGTTTTTAAAAAAATCCCAGTAGTAGCACGAAGTCTGGAATTGTGTCCGGTATATGGCAATAGGCTCACCCCCTATTACATGGGACTCAACATAAATAGTGAAAAGTGGGTGTTACATTGTACAGTGGCATAATGTGCACCTCTGCCTACCTCTTACAATACTCAAGCAAAAAGTAAATGTTGTGACAAATATATTCTACTCTGCAGTTAACATATTTTACGTTTACGAACGTAAAATGAGAAATATCTTTTGTATATACATATAATACTCTTACTAATATATAAAGCTGAAGAGTTGGGTTGTCTGAACGCGCTTATGTCAGGAACGACTAGTTCGAATTGAATAATTCCTTTTGTTTGGTATAGTTCAGTTGTCGAGGAAGGCTATACAGGCTTAATAATTAAATAAAACTGCGTTTAAAAAACCGAGTCCAAAACCCCAAAAACGAATAACAAACAAATGGTAAAAACTAAAAGGCATACAACTATTATTAGTACTGATAGGTTACCCACACACTGAGGTTAGAAGTCGGTGCCATAAGTTCTATACAAAATTATTCATTAAAACCTTAATAGATACCTAATTTACAATTTTGTGGCCATTAGGTTTTATCATTATGATATGAGCTCGCCCCTACCATTTTTGAAAGTTCCCCTCGATTTCCCTAGGATTCCATCATCAGATCCTGACTTTATGGAAATCCTAGAATCCCGAAGATTCCATCTCGGGAGTATACCCTTTCAAACAAAACAAGAATTTTGGAAATCGGTTCACAAATGGCGGAATAATCGGCGAATAAAAAAAAACAATCAGCAGACTATGGTCAGCTGATTGTTGGATGATGGTACTATGGTACCATCTCCTTTTTTTAAAGTCGATATAAATATCACGCTACGATCAATAGGACCCGAGCAGCAGCGGATAAAGCCAGTATACCGCGCTGGAGTAGGTAGCTACTGCAAAACAACGTTTTACTTAAAGACCACTAATTGGGTTTAGATGAGAACAGACGCTACCAACCACATTCGGTGAGACATGCACGCCGGCGGGGTCACCATCACAAACCAGGACTACGTATCAGGAATGAGCACCAAGTCTACATTACGGAGCCGAAGACTAACCTGAGGATCAGAGGTGGCAATGCGACTGATACAAAGAACTTCCCATACATGGCCGCCATTATAATCAATGGTAGATTGTGGTGTGCTGGTACCATTGTTGATGTCAACTGGGTGGTTACTGCTGCTCATTGCTTGAACTAGTAAGTGTTGAGGTGTTTGTAACGTTTAGAGTATTAGATGACCTGCAAGAGAAGAGTGTTCTGCCTTTCAAGAAGGTGGTATCGCATCTTGGAGTTCCAGATGTGACGTGATTCGTTTACCAGCAGGCGATTACATGCTGATAATCACAAAATCGAATATAACACAATATAGCGTCCTATAATATATTCAGAGAACTAAAGTTACCGATGTAGCCCAAAGGATTAGCAAGCTGAAATGGCAGTGGGCCGGTCACATTTGTCGAAGAACCGATGGCCGCTGGGGTAGACGTGTACTGGAGTGGAGATCGCGTCTAGGCAAACGTAGTGTAGGGCGTCCTCCAGCTAGGTGGAGTGATGATATACGTAAAGTGGCTGGTAGTGGTTGGAAGCGTAGAGCTGAAGACCGAGCTCAGTGGCGTGCCATTGGAGAGGCTTATGTCCAGCAGTGGACGAAAACAGGCTGATGATGATGATGATGATGATAATATATTCTCCGACTGATTTGAATGAATGCCTCATTGGCCGAGTGGTCTCAAGTTCGACGCCGGACAAGGGGTCTCGGGTTCGATTTCCGGGAAGGGCAAAGGATAGCTGGGTTTTAAAAAAAATCTTAGTCTCTTAATCAGCATCAACAACAACTTTAGATCGTTTAGATATAAAGTCAAAAATCCAATGACAAATATTTACACATTGAAGTAGGCTGTTATGCTGGCACCATCATTTACACTACTCAAGAAATAATAAAATCACATTTAACCTTTTGAACGCCAGAGCAAAAACACATGAACCTGCCTTCGACACCAAGCCACAAATTCCACGCAAATTTCTACGAAAGAAATAGGAATTATTGGAATCCCTATTGTATCAACAATAGGGATTCCAATAATTCGTGTTTCTGGTTCCGCTTTTTCTGTCATGTATTTGTGTCGTTGACGTCCAGGGACAGTTTTCGCTTGTCGCGTATATGTGACATTGGCGCTCAAAAGGTTAA